TCCATGGCCAAGAAACATAGATACTGGCTACCCCAAATTCCATGTTCCAGAATGGAATATTTTGTTCAAAATTTCATATTTAACAAAGGAAGTTGTAAATTAAAGTGCTTTTCAAACACACCAATGGGAACACTAAACAGATGGGATGGTATCTAAGATATCTGCAATCTGCCTCTGGATTCGTGGAAAATGGAGTTTTATTGAGTACATTCTGAAAGCTTTTACCCTGTTAGTCGCAGGGTATTAGGTCAAACACAGATGTTTCCAAATAATGGCTATATTGACAGCTAAAGATATCCCAACGTGATTGTAATTGGTCTCTGCACCTTGCAAAATTCCAACTTCTCCATAATCATTGAATCTCTAATCCTTGCTGAAGGTTCAGTGGAAATTTCACCTTATTTACTTGGAAGTTCATTCATAAAAGATATACATGTTATTTTTAAAAATTAAACTATTTTTTCTTTGTACTGTACTTATCCTTTGAGTACTAAATTTTTCTTCTTATAATTTTAGTTAAAATACAATCACATTACTTCCCTGCCCTTTGCTTTCCTTCCTGCAACATTTCCTATGTCTTTCTTCCAACCTATTCCATGTCCTCTTGATCCCTCCAAATTGATGGCCTCTTTTTCTATTTTTCTTTCATATATATTCATATATATGCAAATACAAATTGTTGAGACTTTTTAATGTTTCCTGTGTGTATATGATTTGGAGCTGATATACTCGGTACTGAATAACCAATTAGAAAACTTATCCATATGCTTCTCCATTGCTGGTGGGAGTGCAAACTTGTACAGCCACTTTGGAAATCAGTATGGTGGTTTCTCTGGAAAATGGGAACCAGTCTACCTCAAGAACCAGCAATACCACGCTTAGGCATATACTAAGGGATGCACATTCATACAACAAGGGCATCTGTTCAACTATGTTTATGGCAGCATTATTTGTAATAGCCAGAACCTGGAAGCAACCTAAATGCCCCTCAACCAAAAAATGGATACAAAAATGTGGTACATTTACACAATGGAGTACTACTCGGTGGAAAACAATGAAATCTTGAAATTTGTGGGAAAATGGATAGAACTAGAAGAGCCATCCTAAGTGAGGTAACCCAGTCACAGAAAGACAAACATGGTATAAACTCACTCATATTTGGATGTTAGACATCAAGAAAAGAATTACCAGCCTACAATCCGAACTGTGAGAGAAGCTAGAAACAAGCAAGATCATAAGAGAGATATACATGGTCCCCAATGATGCAGAAAGGACAAGAGCCCATGAACAAATTGGGAGCATGGGGGAGGGGAGATGGCGGTAGGAGAAAGAGGAGAGGAGAAGAGGAGGGGGGAGGAGAACATGGGTGATTAGAAAGATTGAGCTGGGAGAGGAATAGAGGAGAGCAAGAAAAGAGACACATCAATAGAGGGAGCCACTCACTATAGGTTTAAAGAGAAATCTGTCACTAGGGAATTATTGTACTGAGATCCAAAAGGATGACCCCAACTAGGACTCTAAGCAATAGTGCAGAGGTTACCTTAAATGCCCATTCCCTATAATGAGATTGATGATTACATTAAATGCCATCCTACAGCCTTCATCCAGTAGCTGATTGAAGCAGAAACAGAGATATTCACAGCTAAGCCTTGAGCCAAACTCCTGGAATCCAGTTTCAGAGGAGTGATCAACAAATGGGTCAAGACCATGCTGGGAAAACCCACAGAAACAGCTGACCTGAGCAAGTGGGAACTCATGGACCCCTGGCAGCTGGGGATCTAACATAGGACCAAACCAGGCCCCCTGAATGTGGGTGTCAGCTAGGAGCACTGGGCAGTCTATGGGGCCTCTGGCAGTAGAACAAGGATGTATCCCTAGTGCACAAATGGTCTTCGGGGTCCCATTTCCCATAGAGCAATACTCCCTTAGCTTAGATACACAGGGAGGTCTAGACCCTGCCCCAAAGGACTTGACAGATTTTTTATGATCCCTCATGGAAGACCTCACACTCCCTGGGGAGTGGATGGGGGATGGGATGGGGGGCTCAGTGCAGGGCATGGGAGGCTGGGAGGGAGATAGAAATTGGATTGATATGTAAAATAATATTGTTTCTAACTTAAATAAAATTTAGTTGTAAAAAATTAAAAAAGAAAACTTTGCATTGGAGATTAATTCTTCCTTTCTCAACAATTATTAGCTCTCTTTTGTTTATTATGTAGTGGTGGGACCCATGATATTTCCTCCTTTTCTATAAGCATGTATATTGACATTGCTATTGTCCAAGTACTATTTAGGTAGCCATATTGTAGAAATATCATAAGTGTAACCTCCCTCAATTTCTAGAACATGCAATCTCAAAGCAGATATCCTGGTTCTCTGGCTTTTACAACCTTTGTGGCTCCCCTTTTTTGATGTTCCCTGTGCCTTAGGTGCGAGAGTTATGTTATAGATGTATCCATTGTGGCTTGACTTCCCACAATCAGTTGATCTCTTCACTATTATAACCATTTATGGTTTTCTATAGCTCTATCCATTTGGGTGGTAACAGAGCATGCTTTTAATCCCAGCACTCAGGAGGTGGAAGCAGGCAGATCTCTGTGAGTGTGAGGGCAGCCTCGTCTACAAAGAGAGTTCTATGACAGCCAGGGCTGTTACACAGAGAAACCTTGTCTTGAAAAAGAAAAAAAAAACAAAAAACAAATAATGCTTCCCTAGTAAAGTGTCAGTGGAAGGCAGACGCTTAAGACCCATGACCTCACTAGCTGCTGCCTGTAGTTTCTGCAATTACTCCAAGTTATTTACTCACCTCTTAAGATTTGGAGATGGGAGTCACATATGAGGGAGAACAGTCAGAGTTTGCATTTCTGGTTCTGATATAGCCATTTAATAGAAAATATTCTAGTTCTATCCATTTACCTTCAAAGTTTATGATTTCAACTTTCTTTATAGCTTAATAGTTTTCCTTTGCATATATGTTCCAGCTTTCCATTATTTATCCATATGTTTAAGGATATTTAGGTTGATTCTATTTCCTAGCTACTGTGAATATAGCAGCAATAAATATTTTTGAGCAATTATCACTGTAGTTGAATATCAAGACCTATGTGCATATGCCAAGGAGTGGTGCAGATGAGTCATGTGATAGATTTTATTAACATTAAGAGGGTTTTTACACGCTGATTTCTGTGGTGACTTTGTTAGTATGCACTCTCACCAACAGTGAATTAGGGTTTTCCTTTCCCTAGATATATACTTGTCAGTATTTATGGTCAGTTGCTTTGTTGATATTGTTCATTCTGACAAGCATAGAATAAACTTCAAAATAATTTTAATTTGCAGTTCCCTCATTGCTAAGGATGTTGAATACTTTTTGAAATATTGCTTAATCATTTTTATTTCTTCTATTGAGAACCTTCTGTACAGTTCCTTAGCCCATTTTTCAATTAGGTCATTTATTTTTCTTCACTCTTTGTTGAGTTTCTGTCATAGAGTTCTTTAATCAGATGCTATACTCTGTGCAAAGCTTTCTTGTTTCCAGATCTAAAGTTGTTTCTACTTCCAATCATTTGCTTTCTCTTTACCTTAATTTTCCTGTGATTCTTATAATTTGGGGGTATTATGTTCATCATATGTTATGTATAGTAGCATCAAACTATATGAAAATTAAAATATCTGCAATAGGCATGACTTTTTGCAGAAAAGGCCACTTAGTACAGCTTTGCTGCTAGTTACAAAGTCTATAGCAATTTTTGTCAATTCTATGCACATGTTTGTTTATGTATATAGCTATACTTTATAGAATTGACAAATAAATATGTCTCTATTCATTTCATACATAAACTCATTGTCATTTTACAATATAAAGCAATAATATAACTAATGAAATTATTTAAGTTTTTAATTCTATGTATATTATTTAAGGTAATTTTGATTAAATGTTATTAAAATGAGGAAATAGAGTTACTAGTGATTTTACAGATAAAAAACTAAATATCTTGAAAAATATGATTATCAAATTCACATAGAAACAGGCTAAGCTGCCAATTAAATACAAAGCTTCTAGTACTAAATCTTGATTAATTTTTCTTACTTTAATTTATACCACAAAACTTGATATTAAATGAAATTAACTGATTCAGAACACATCTTAGAAACCATTATAAACAAAAAACAATCAATAATGCTGACATTTGGAGGCTTTGACTTTTCTTCTTCTAACATGTGCGTATATTTGAATACACTTTCCATTTGATCATGAGTGAAACTAGGCTTAAGAACACACAAAACTGTGGGAAAGCATAACTGTCAAATCCTTAACATATATGCATATACTCAAAAATTTCCTAGACTCATTTGTCCTAAAACAAATTTATTATATCAGACAAACTATAGTCATTACTTGTCAATAGGGAATTTATTTATTATGATTTTATCCTAAGCCAGTTATGGTGTCACAGTCTACTGACTCCAGCATTCAGGAGCTGAGATAGAAGAATCTTGAATTTTAGAACTTATTTTAAAAGACCATGAAACATACAAGCCAGTCACAACCAAAATGAAGAAAGAAACTGGAATATGATCCAAGTTCCAAGACAGCACCCAGGTGCAACAAATACTACATCTAATTGTTTGGTTCTAACTTTAAAGATAAACCATGCATGAGAAATTACATGGGCAAGGTTCATCTTATATCCTGATCAGTTAGTAATTTCGCATTATTAGAAGCTAAATTGAAAGATATTTGACTTTTGTATTTGTATATTTTAATGCTTAGGGGAGGGCTAGTAAGTAGGCAAGAGACAGTTAAATTTGTAACTGTCCTTTGGTACTTAGAAGAGGGAAATTTGGATGCTGAACAAGACAATCACAGGGCCAGTGTCCCAGTTTAAAGTCAGATGAATGTTGGGTAAAATTATAAAAATAGAAACTGCCTTAGGACAGTAATAAAAACATTCAACATTGTCTTTCAAGGTGACCAGGGTCTCTATTTCTAAATGCAGGGTGCTGCGAGGGAAGAACACTGTTAAGTGAGCCATGTGAGTGAGGGATTTATCTCCTGCTTATGAAACAGTCAGCTCCTTTCTCAGCTTCAAAGAGAACAAAAGTAAGTTAACCTTTAGTGGCCTTGCAAGGTTATCATTAATAAACAGTCATAGAACAATCAATTATTTTAATTCAAAGTAACAAGAATGTGAACAAAGCATTTTATATATCCTAGCTGAGTTTTTATTTATTCAAAATGATAATAAATATTGAATTTTATTTAATCTCCATTTCTCTTATCAGGTTTGATAAAGTGTCATAGTTCCTCTTCCTTTCCATGTCTCTTTTACACATTTATTTAGTTGTATAAGTAATATTAATACAATTAATATACCAACTTAGCTGTTGCTGTATATTTTTATGATAACTATATGATGTTTGATTTTGACATTTTCTCACACATACACAATATTTTTTTATTGAATTACAAACAAGATTGAATTACATGACAATCCCAGTTCCCTTCTCCCTCCCTTCCTCCGCTATCACACCCCCAACTAAAACCCTACCTATCATATATCCTTACTTCTAATCTAGTAACCTGACTCAACCTTTCTGCTCCCTCATGACCTCTGCCTCCTTCCTCTTCTTCCCTTCTCATTCTCATAGCTCCCTCCTCCACTCTTCCCATGCTCTCAATTTGCTTAGGGGATCGTGAGCCTTTCCCCTTCTCCAGGGGACAAAGTTTGTCTCTTTTAGGGTCCTCCTTATTTACTAGTTTCTCTGGCAATGTGGATTGTTGGCTGGTAATCCCTTACTCTATGTCTAAAATCCACATATGAGTGAGTACACACAGAACAAAGAGAACATCTTCAACAAATGGTGCTGGCATAACTGGATGCAAACATGTAGAAGACTACAGATAGACCCAAGCCTCTCGCCCTGCACAAAACATAAGTCAAAATGGATCAAAGACCTCAACATAAACCCAGCCACACTAAACCCACTAGAAGATAAAGTGGGAAATACCCTTGAATTAATTGGTACAGGGGACTGCTTCCTGAACATAACACCAGTAGCACAGACACTGAGATCAACAATTAATATATGGGACCTCCTGAAACTGAGAAGCTCATCAGGGAAATGCAAATCAAAACAACTCTGAGATACCATCTTACACCTGTCAGAATGGCTAAAATCAAAATCACCAATGACAGTTTATGCTGGAGAGGATGTAGAGAAAGGGGAACACTTCTCCACTGCTGGTGGGGATGCCAACTTGTACAGCCACTTTGGAAATCACTACGGTTACTCCTCAAGAAAATGGGAATCAGTCTACCAAAAGATCCAGCAATTCCACCCCTAGGCATATACACAAAAGAAGCACATTCATACACAAAAGACATCTATTCAACAAAGTTCATAGCAGCACTATTTGTAATAGCCAGAAACTGGAAGCAGCCTAGATGCCCCTCAACAGAAGAATGGATAGAGAAAATGTGGTACATTTACACAATGGAGTACTACTCAGCGGAAAAAAACAATGGGATCTTGAAATTTGCAGGAAAATGGATGGAACTTGAGGAAACCATTCTGAGCGAGGTAACCCAATCACAAAAAGTCAAACATGATATGTTACTGTATATTTTAACCCACTGTTCACGAACAGATCCAAAACAAATACAATGAAGAGAAGAAATGTAAGGAGTATGGGCCATTAGCATAGTCTTGAAATAAGAAAAGAAATTGCAAATGAGTAATCTTTCAAAGTTATCAGATAATTGAGGTCTCTGTTCAATCATTGATCATAAATCTAGATAAAGATCCATTTTCATGAAGAAACGGGACTGTATTTACTTTAAGCATGCATGAGTCAAAATTCTCTTCATAAAAGTCATTGAGAAAATACAGCTGATTTGTTAGAACTAATAAAATTCAAGTATAAAAACCCAGAAATAGATAAGAGGAAGTCTGCACTTTTTTCAATCCTTGTCCCCTTGCCAAATACTCAAAGAAAATGTGAGTGAATGTATTTATTTTGATGAGAGAATAGAGTGACAAGAGCCCATGTAGATCAGGATGATGTCAAAACCATTATGTAACTAAGAGTGACCTTGAACTCCTGATTCTCCTGCTTCTACTTCTCATGTACTAAAATTGTGGGCATGTGCCACCAGTTTGTGAGATAGAACCTTTAAAAATTACCTACTGTGTTATTAGTTAGAGGAGGGGAGGGCAATCGACACCAGGATACATTACAAATATGTCTCTTTTATTTCCTAAAGAGATCATATATCTTCATCTGTAAGAAGAATGTCTAATGGGTGTGTTTTTGTGTCTATAAATAAATATATGCATTCACATATATATTTCAAGAAAGGTATATATCTGTACCATTAATCTAACTGCTCCCATTAAGTCCAGGATAGGAACAATTTATGTGAAAGACAGAAATTTTAACTCTCATTTATCTGGAGAACTTAACAGGGATTTTGAGTATTCCTGGGTATCACTAAAGCAAAATGAAGATTGTGGTTTGCTAAGGGTACTCAGGGGAACAGCCCACTTAACCATAGCTGAGCTACTGAAAGCACATCAGAAAGGATGGTAGATTCACCCTCAAGCACTGTGCATATATGTGTTTAAGGGAAAATAGAATTACCACATTTAAATTAAAATTAATAGCCTCCATGAACTTTATGAAGAAACAATGCCCAAGAAAATATGAGTAAGGTTTGTCCATCAATACATAAAAGTAATATTATAATAAATTATGCCCACATAAGCTTGATTTAGATGCACAAGGTCATAAGTTCAGGTCACCACTTGAAAATCAATGGTATTTATCACTATCAACAGACTATACAAAAATACCTTATTCAAAATATCTAAAGGAAAAAGCTTTTAAAATTAAAACATTATAAAAATGTACCATGATTTTCTCAATAGATCAAAGAAAAGCACCCAACAAAATCTAGTATTCATAATTTAAAAACATTCTCATAAGCTTGGAAGAATAAAGATTTCTTTAGCTTAAATGAGACAGCTGTTAGCATAACAGCTAGCATCATAACAACATGGTCATAAATGGTGAAAGAAAATGATTTAAGCTAAACATGAACAAAGAAAGTGTTTTTTTCTCTCTGGGTCTCACAATAGTGCATCATCAGATACTCTATTCAATATTGTACTGAAAATCATAGAGAAATTAAGGGAAGAAAAAGAAATGAAATGCATTTAGGTTGGAATGGAAGCAATAAAATATCTCTGACAAAATATGACTTTTTTTAGGTAGAACATCACTGGGAATCTATTTGAAAGGCTCTTAGAAATAAAGGCTGGTACAGCTGAGTTTGTGAAATGATTTCCATGAAAGAACAGAGACCTGGGTTGAGAGCCCTGGCATCTATCTAAAAAGCTTGGCATGGTGGCACATAAACATAACCTGATCATTCAGGAGGTGGGCACAACCAGTTCCCCTGGAGCTTGTTGACAAGTCTGTCTAGCCATTCAGTGAGCTCATGGTTTGGTAAGAAACCCAGTCTCTTACAAATGAAGTGTGGAGTACTAGAGGTCACCAAAGCAAACCAGTGGCCTCAACACACATGTGTGTACACATTGATACACATGATGAGCACACACACACATAGTCCAATAACAAACTGATACACATGTACACGAGTATACACACACGTACACATGTACTAGTAAGTGTATTTAGGAAGATTTAGGATCACACACACACACACACACACACACACACACACACACACAGAGAGAGAGAGAGAGAGAGTGAGAGAGAAAGAGAGAAAAAGAAAAAGAGAAAC